CATTTCCTCATCTCAACTTGTCTAATCTCAGTGACCCCACCTCTACCCTTCAACTTTGCCATGAAAACCTTCTCCTCTTGGGTACATTATCTATAAAATCCTAAACATCACACTTAAAAAAAATCACACAGCGGCACACATGAACCAAAGACTGATGGTCATCATTATGGAGGTACCCAGCCTCAATCCATTTTTTATAATGACTTTAATTATAGCATGCACAAAGTCATATCCAAACTTTTAACTTCATAAAACCAAGCAATATCATGTGTCATCTCATACCATGCAATTATTTTGAAGCAAAACAGTTGCCATGAACATGAGTCGCAGTGAAAATGTGTTAACCCATTTCCATACACAAATACTGTAATTTGTTTTGAAAGCCAGGTTTATGAATTTTAACAACCAAATCCCTCATATGAATGTCATTTAAATAATACTGCTCAAGTTACTGTTAGATCAAACATATAAGGGTTCTGTGGGAATCCAATCACCCACTTACGAGCAATGATTAGTTATTATTATGCTCAACTTGAACTAAAAAATGTATCCCTTATCAAATAAAATCTACTTACTATAAATCCCGGTGAATGACTTCAACAAAATACCCATTAGTACAATATCAAAACAAAAGCTACTAAATGCTCATCATGTCTGCACAATGAAGTACATAATCAAACAATTACTAGCAGACAACTATATCATATGGTTAATTACCTCAGGCTGCAAACAGGAGCTGCCAAGTTGTATTAAATATTTTACTCTTCATTAGAACTACAAGCAATAAAGGGCTACTCATTAACAATTCTACAATTAAGGATATTGTGCAGGTATAGCAAATATTGCACAGGAATTTAGAATTTACCTACAAGAAGTGCTTGCATGGAACAGATGCCAAAACATTATCAGTCATATCATCCTGTGTCCCCTTATATATTAATAGACTACTTGACTTTCAAGTCCCTTAAAGCACAACAAGCACACTGTTGGGTGGAAAGTTTGATAGGGTCCTACAAATAGCAATGCTTTGATCAAATGTCCTACTTCTTGCCAAAGTCAGCAAATAGTTTTAAGTATAACAACCATTTCCAAAAGAAATACTGATGGTACTACAAATGAAGAATTGACTCTGGTCTCATTTTTATGACTAAGCCAGAACAAGAAGACTTATGAATTACAAGGAAAAATCTACAGGGTCAAATCCCAGGGTTCCCCTAAATGGTACTTGGTGTTACTAAGCTGTTGAATAGTAATACCTCCTCATTCCAACAATATGCCTCAAGAAAGGATATTTAGAAACAAAAATTACAACTGAAGGCTGAAGGCTAATAGTCAAGGTGCCAAACTATTAGTGTATATTCCTTATCACTTCAAAACTTAGCCAAGTAATGGAAATAAAGAATCAACTACACTCTGTACTCACTTTCAGCTGATTTTATGGTAACCCCTCGATGGGAGGGACCCAAGTTATCTGTTCCCAACTTGGTCTTAAATGGGATCTTAAGGTTAATCTTTCATTTCTGAACTAACTCCAAGATTAACAGAAGCCAGCATGTTACATAGAAGATGGAAGTGGCGTCGGTGGTAGAGCGGTACCGCTATTGCCTCGCAAGCGAGATGCCATGGGTTCTATTCCCGGGCCGGTGGAAAGTTGCTTGGACACACTTCCTAGCCCCCTTTGGTCCCTGTTCACCTAGCAGTAAAGTAGGTACCTGTTGTAAATCGAAAAGTTGCGAATTCGTATTCAGGGAAAGTTGTTGGAGCTTCCAATAACTTGCTGACAAAAACCTATGTCTCTTCAGGCTTCTATGCCCTTAACTCACGAGACATAAAGGCAATCATGAACTTAGCATGCTTCCCAGATGGGCGCTGTAAGCACTTCACCTTGCACAGGATGTAGGGAAGAGAAAAAAAAAAAAAAATAAAAAAAAAAAAATGGAAAGATGCTCCAAGTGCTGACGTGACAAATGCCTCCAACTAGGGGGTTAACCTTGTTAAAAATATATGGCACAAAAAATTTAGTACACAATCTCCTCGAACACCACAAAGTCCTACAGAGTTCTGAGAATCTTGCAGCAAACTAATTCTAATCAATAGTCTAGTGCCTCTTAAAGATCAGATATAACCAGCCCCTTAACAGGTCCCAACAGGGTGCAATGCCTTTGAACCAAGAAGGTCAAAGCTGTGCAGGTTTGTTGTGATATAATACGTATTGAAACAAATACATTTACTGTATCTCTTTTCTAAAGAGATCCATATCTTCACTGAAGTAATTGGATGATCCTCCACTCCTGAATCATAGCTAGGCAAGAAGTGATAGATGGGATACACATTACTGGAGTGGCACCTTGACTCCCTAACCTCTGGTCTTAGTGGTAACTTTTGCTTCCATAATTTTTTTTGTGGAATATAGTAGCAACAGGAAGGTGTAACTAATAATTGAACTTTTAACCTGCATTATTTAAGGATTCCCAGGGTATTGATCTTGTAGATATGTTTGGCTTTTACACAAGTGTTATATTAGTTCAAGTGTTAAGTCATAAACTCTCAATGTGTATTCCCAATGATGAAATTCACAAAGGAGATTTTGAATTTAAATATTAGGAATCATTCACAAATTACCCCTGAATCCAAGAAAGCATTTAAAAAAATGAACAGTAACATGATTTTCTTAAAATGGGGAGAATATAAATATATCTGACTTATGATTGTATAACAAAAATATCTGCAACTGATTTTTTTTTTTTTTTTAAGTTGGTTCAACATATTTTCTAGGTGCACAGACCAACAGTATTTCTTCTGAATCCAATGCTTAATTCTTAGGTAACCAATAAGTTACAACAAACATCTGACAGAAAATGCTTACATATATTTATACATATTCACTCAAAATACTAAAGTAATATATATGAAACCACTGGATGAAATGAACTATATATATACCTGTATGGAAACTCTGTTGTTGTCTTCAAATTAAGAGAACACTTCTTAAGAAACTAAATTAGCAAGGGAATTAAAAAGTGGTTATATCAAAGAGCTAGTTCGGTGCAAAACATATACTGACAGCATCCTGCCCAGGGTACAGACTGAATTCAACCAGAATATATCATAGAAATTTACATTATTATCAGTAATATGTAATATGTAAAATTTCTATTGCATAATAAGATCTTAATATATTATGTAATTTTGTGAGTTTTTACCTTCTGAATGGGAAGGTTACTATGCCAAGTGAAAAATTCTGCACTGAGGTCATGCTGTATAAAAACGATCTACTGTCAGGCACAACTGGTAGTGTTATATGTTATCACAAAAGGTAGTTCGCCACTCATTATGTCAAAGCCTCACAATAAAAGAAGAAAAACAGGTACAGTACTTGGAGAGTAAGTTGTGATGATGTATCATCTTGGTTATTTAATGTTTTATGGATGAAATGTGAGAGAAAGAGAAATGATAATTGGTGATTGTTGAATGGTGGCAGAAAAGTTTTGTTTCATCTACTGTAGAAAGACTAAGTTGTGCTGCTAGATGAGTTGGAGGATAATGTGGTATAGGTAGCATATTTTGAGGAAGCTTATAGGGAGAGTCTTAAAGGTTAAAGGTAAAATCATGAAGTCTGAAAAAGGGTATGTGCTCTAACCATTAGTTTTAGATGTTAAATGCTGGTGTTTAAGAAAATTACAGGTTAACACTGACAGCAATGAAGAAGGATACCTTAAGAAATATTAAGGGAATTTCATAGGGAGAAGAATGAAGACAAACGTAAACAAGGTGTTGAAAAGTCTTTGGAGAGCCATAGTGTTATGTGCACAATAAAAATGCAAGACAAGTAGGAGGCTGGTAAAACTGATCTCTGACAGCACAGGTGAAGGTAGGGGAGTTAGAGGACAACCAGGAAAGTGATGGACAGTTTATATGGGCAAATCAGTTGGGTCAAGAGGTGTCACACTAGAAACAGCTAGAAGAATACTGTAATTGTAGACCAACATCCTGTAGAGATATTTTGTATGAGATAGTGTTAGCAAATAGGAACCTGATGACTCAGCTCAGTATGTAAACCAAACTGCTATGAAGCATAGAAATCAACTTAGAGGTTAATGATATGAAAAAAACAGAGGACATGAGTAAGTGTACAGGGAGTGTTCCTACTTGGTGTTTCATCCCTTTCCTGTTGCTTTCTACATTTTTCTTGCACCTCATTCCTGACCATTTCCTCTCTTTCTTGAGGTCTCTGTTTCCCTTAGTCCACCCCCACATACATGGGAGAATAGAAAGGATAATAGATTGACTGAGTAATACTACTACATATAAAACAACACTAAAGAAAGATTTATGAAATACGCAATTCTGCAAATGACAATTTGTGAATTACATGTTCTTATCACTTAAATTCAATATCCTCTTAATATATTCTGAATAATCATAATGAGCATAAATTCTGAGAGGTTTGTTTCACTTAAAGGTTACTACTAAGAATCAAGCCTCTAATGCTACCAAGTGAACTGAACCATAGTCTGCATGAGGTAAACTAACCTGTCAATAATAAAATCAGAATATATTTAAATAATGATCTGGCTCAGAACTCTTGATTGCAATTTTCAGCTAATGCAGTAAAAAAACATATCCTATTCATGCACAACATATATACTCAAATAATGAAAAAAAAAAGTATATGGACATGCCAAGCTTATTCACAAAGCCAGGAATAATTGTTTTACCTGAGTCTTTCATGAGCCTCAAAAGCTGGAAAAGACCTAGGGCAAATGTAAATATCAACAAAATGTAATATGGTTTCCCAGAGAAAAACTTGAAAATTTTTATTTCATGAAGAATTTCAGTTTTCAACCCCATAATTTAGCCATGTATTGATTAAAATAGACATAAGAACCTTGATGCACAAGGTAAAATGTCTGATAAAAAAACATTAAAAGAAAGAAAGAAAAAAAAGGCCAGAGTTGAAAACTGAAGTGTGGCTTTGTGAGGCTGTGCTGCTGCATTACCTGCCATGCTAATGAGTAACTGGTGGAAGTGCTCTAGTTCAGGAGAGAGGGAGTCCACACAGGCAGTGGCATGCACCGGGGGACTTCCTCCACCAACCTGCGCCGCGTCTCTCCTAGGGGACACTGCTCCCCCTTCCACTGCCGGGGCAACTGGGGTTTCAGATCCCCCACCTGATCCCCCCGGACCCACACCAACAACTGCCTGACCACTGCCTCCACCTGAGCCAACTGACTGGCTCCCACTAGCTGCTGTCTTTGATATAGTAATGCCAAATTTCACTGTCTGTGGCCCCACTTTCTGTGGTTTGACCTCTACACTGATAGGAGTTCCAGGCTCTACTGACACACCTTGACCCCCTGCCCCTACACGAGTCACCAAGTCTTTCTTAGGTGGCACTGCTGGTTTATTTGGGGGAACTGGGGGAGCTGCAGCTGGCTTGTTTAATGGAACAGGTGGTGGGGGTCCCCCAGGCTGAGTGGATCTGGCTGGGGGAGGAGGTTTCTTGGTCATTGTTGAAGTTTGAGAGAGAACTTGCTGTTGCTGCTGACCATTAGCTGGAGAAGCTGAAGCAGCTGTGGTCGTGGGCGCATTTGTAGTTACGTGAAAGGTCACCTTTCCCCCATGTGTTGTAGTGATTACTTTAGTGCCAGGTGAGGCCGAAACATTCACCCTTGGAGTCACTTGCACCACCTGGGCCTGGCTTCGCACATCCCCAGGTCCAGTGACTCGCACCACTCCACGCTCTACTGTGCCTGACACTCCACCTGGTAAACTGGCTGGGCCCTCACCATCACCACTGCCCGTCCAGCCACCCTCATTCTCACTTACGCTGAAATTAAAACAATTTATCAGAATATTCAAGATTATTAAAATTATAACTTATAATCACTGTTGATGCACAAGTTATTTTTCACAATACCAGAAAAAAGAGGTATGAAATGTTCACTTCTGAATAAATTTTGAACAACAGAATAAAATATATCTTAAAGAGAAGAAATGTGCATAAGACTGAAATGAAAATAAAAAAGAATGCTGGGACAATAATCTCTTAATTAAGAGCAAACATCGGTGAGTTACTCTCCATGATTGAAGCCACATAGAATATAAAATGCCAACATACCGTGGCTATAGTCTTGTGTCTGCTGCTGGCTGCCGGGACACAACTCTGGTCAATGCTCAAGTGATACAACCAACCAACATGGGTCTAACACACATCCTAAGTCAGCCGCAAGTCTTGTCAAGAGTAAATAACAATAAGTATGGTGTGGCCAAGATAAACACGAGTGATATGTGGCACCTCGATATGGAGAAAAAATCGACACTTCAAAAAGTATAATTATCTTTTTAGAATTGGCGCCACCCTAAGTGCCACAATAAACATGCAGCAGACATCTTGGGTAGTATTCCAGTCATTAAAGAGGCAGGTGACATCACAAAAGAATTGCAACAACATTAACAATAAAACAGTGCACCAGAGTGCAATACAAAGATTGTCAAAAATACAGCCCAGCGGCATGTAACACAAGGTATGATTTTTAGTGACTGTTTGTATTTAACAATTCACAGAATTTATTGTTAGGTGTGATGTCAAGAACAAGATTCAATGTTCGGTGACATACACGAATAAAACAGTGACTTGATTAATACAACCATCCCCCAAAAAGCCTCAACACCACCACACAGGACCACTCACCTATAGCTCTTAGCTGCTGTAGTCACAGTCCTCGTCACCTCAGAGGTTGACACACTATACATGACTGGCCGTATTCCAACTCCCGGCTGAACCCCTCGAGCAATACCCGTAGCTGTTTAGTAAGGAGGTGCACATCAGTAAGTAAATATGGAACTTGGAGTTCATTAAAAATAATATAAAATAATAATAATAATTACCAGGTAATTGAGATTCTGCCAAGTTTTCATATACAGTGTCAAATAGTTTTATCTTCTCAGACTTTTTTGTACAAATACTGCATTCCAGCAAGTAATTTACCATTCATCCTCAAGACTCTTGATTGCATCATATCAGCAAAATTTTATTTTCACTAATCAGAGATTTCTTTCCACATCCATTTCTATCATATGCAAATACCCAAAACATTGTCTTAAACATAATTATTGTTTACAGGCCCCTTATCTAACCATTAAAGCTGGGACCCATTAGAATTCATCTCTAATCACATTGGTATAATTAAGTATCAAAGTTCAAATTTTTCCAGAATTCGATAAATGCTTAGTCCCAAGCAATTTAGATTTGGGAAGCTTGACTGTACCAATTTAGATTGATTAAATAAGTGATTTCTGGTTTAGTCTCATTGGATACATAAGGAGCAGATATAAACTACCGTATTAGCCAGTTTTAAGAGGGGGTTAATAAGTTAAGAGTGATGCGACAGGGAAGCCTATTAATAAATATGAGCACCATTTAACATGATAGTAGTGAATGCCATGAACTTAAGCAGTCTGAGTTTGCAACTAACCTTTAAAGCAAAAATTATGATACATAACTTTACAAGCAACTCATTAAATATATATCTACATCATTAAACAGATTTCAATCTCTAAGAGGTATCATTACCCCTTATTAATGTGAAACCACTTTAAATATCCCAAATTCAAAAAAATCTACTTGGTACTCTATACAATCTGGATGGAGGAATGATGCTTTACGTTATCATAATCATCATCATCAACTTTTTGCAGTCTTTTTCCATGCTTGTGAGGGTTAGCCATAATTACATAATGGAAAATCTCCAGACTTCATGATACTTATCCCTGGTATAATTTCCCACAACCTTTTCCTCATGTTATTCTTAGCATACCCCTTGCTCTCCTTCCCTCCATATTTAAACTCATGCAAGTATTTACCCTCAAATTATTTACTTCATACCATAAAAGCACCACAGAACACAATATAGATTTTATTAACCTTTACGCCCCGGGTGACGTACTAAAACGCCCAACTAGCGCACCCCGGGTGACATACAAGACGTGCGCCTTTTCCCGCCACTGTTTTAATGCATGTCACGGGTTAACAGGTACCAACGTGACTATTTGTCTGCCACAGCACACAGAGGGGAGCGTGGGTGGGCTCAGAACCGTCAGTAACCATTTCCCTGTAGTCATGGAGAGTCACCCCTCAACCTCCCATGTCATGTCGTCAACCCCGATCAAGCGTCGGCGCGGGTTGAAGATAGTGAGATACAAACAGAACTATTTGATGTGAGTGCTGTATTGTGTGATTCTGGTGAAAGTGGTGATTAAGGCAATGGTTATATGCCTAGTGATCATGAGAATAGCGTCGAGTTAGAAGATGTGTTCGGGACAAGTGGTGATGAGGACGAGGCACAGCCAGTGCGGTGTAAGCCCACCACACATTCACAGCCCAGACAAGGGACAATGGATGCTCTTGTTTGGTCTGATGACCATTATTTCCAGCCTGACATCCCTGATTTCATACGCTCATCAGGTGGAATTATTCCCGAATTTCCTTGTACAGAGGAATCAAGTGAGATGGACTATTTTTGTGCCTTCTTTGATGGTGCATTCATGGACTTACTATGTACTGAAACAAATAAATTTTATCAGTACACATGTGATGCTGCCCTGGCCCCTTGCCAAAAATGAGCCGATGGACTGATGTTGTTGTGTCCGAATTATATTTTATGTGTGTTTTTCGCATTAGTAATGCTAATGGCGCATGTGAAAAAACACGTACTTCAGGAGAACTAGATATCTCATGATGACATCACAGCAATTCCATTGTTTTCGAAATTCATGTCAAGAGACTGGTTTGGCACCATCCTGCATTATCTACACTTCGTGGACAATGTGGCACATGAGGAGTGCTTGTTAACAGTGTAAAATAGGTAGTAGGTAGTAGGCAGCTGCCAAACAGCGAGGTACTACCGCCTGGGAAGATATTGGAAGCAAAATATGTTGTCTTATGGTAGACCCTGTTGCCATATGGCATCACAAAAATTGTGCCCAAGTCCCAGGTTGCTGATCTGACTTTCTGCCTCATTGTAACAACCTCTGTCACATTAGTTTTATATATATATATGGGCTAAGGACATATATTCATTATATACATTCTATCACCCAGACTATTGAGCATACAGCTACATAAGCATTTCTTCTGTCACACCTTCTCGGGTGTACAGCCCATAAGTCTACAGACTCAACCCTCAGTGTGTTGGTAGGCTGTTTAGAGAATGTCTGTGTTGAAGGATGGGTTACTCTCCAACCACCAGGCACCAGACGCAAAAGAGTACAGCCAGTTCCCCCAGTACACAGCCCAACATGATACACTAAAGTCGTGTCGTGAGACCAGCTCTCCAGGCTGTAACTCTCTCTAATTATATCAGCTAATTACAAGCTAATAGCTAATGCTCATTAGTCTGTCAATACCAAATAATTGTGCAGACATGACTACCCAATATAACTAGAAAATCACCACGTGTGTTTACATTAAACCAAGGAACAACGAGTGAAAAGAACAGTACCTGTGCATCTTGTATAACTTACAAGCTAAGATAACTACAAGTACAACCCAGGACAGTTGTGACGATTTTAACTATCAACCAATCTACGACTGTATCAAAGGTGACGTGCCATGAGATTACCTGATATCTTACTCAGCTGCATCAAAGGTACCAGTGACTAACCTACACTCATTCAGGCAAATGTTAACAAGCGAGAAAGTTCGATATCATACCACAGCTAAAACATCATTTACACACAATTGTAGGGTCTCAATTGTTTCTCTTCCTATTGACAACACAACATACATATACAGTATTGTTCCTCACTTTTGATTTTTTTTCATTTTGTATTTCTTGATGGTTCTTTATTATTATTACAGTATTATTATTATTATTATTATTATTATTATTATTATTATTATTACAGTGTTGTTATTATTATAATCATTATTACTTTATTTTCAATTCTGTATATTGTATTATAAATTTAATTTACTATGAATTATTATTATTACAGTGGTCCCTCGGTTAACGAGCGCCTCGGTTCACGAGATTTCGATTAACGAGTTGCCTTCCATAAGATTCTTAACTTCGGTTAACGAGCAATCCCTCGATTAACGAGTTTCTTACGAGCCGACCTCCACATGTTTTCGCTTACATTTGGCGGTCCACCAGCTGTAGTATTAGTCCACCAATACAGTAATCAGTTCTATGGCTTATATTCCTTACCATTTTAGTAAATATCAAGAAGTTAAAACTATTCAATAATTTTAAAAGTTTAATATTAAATTTTTTAGTCATTTTAACAATTATTGAACATAATTGAAGGTAAGGAAACTAGTTTTATGCGCGCCATCCAGCCTCTCAACACACCAAACAGGCGCCAGTGTCTCTGTCTTTTCAGTGGAGGTAACATCTTTCTTCAGACTCTCTTCAACTAAATGCTTTTTCTGTGTTTGCAAGCAAATTATTGGTCATTTTGAAATTTATTTTACATATTGACAATATATAATGCAGTGCAGTGTTGATTTAAAGAAAATAATCTTGAATTACACCAAGAGAACTAAAATTTTATGGGTGAAATGGCACCATGGGGTGACTTCTCTTCCACCCCAATGTCTTCTCTTCTCCCTTCTCCTCCACCCCCATTCTAATTCCCATCATCATCATCCAGGATCCTTCTACATACACACCTCAAAGTAAGTGTACTTTTCTACTTTTTTTGTTGAATTTAGGCAATTTTCGGTGAGCTGGAACCAATTACCCAAAAACCCATTGAAACAATGGCTTCGGTTAATGAGTTTTTCGGTTAACGAGCAACCTTCTAGAACGGATTGTGCTCGTTAACCGAGGTACCACTGTATTATAATAATAATAATAATAATTATTATTATTACATTTTCGCCCCCCAGGCCCCGATGTGGGTCAGTGACCTGTGCCCAGGTGGGCTAATCCCCGCAAAAAAAAATAAAAATAAAATAAATAAATTAGTAGTGTAAGTGTATTTTTAAGATACAAAGTGACATATTTGTGTAAAAGTTACACAGTTTTACGCATTCACTCGCCACTACCCATAAGCAATAAAAAGAGGCATCAGGGTAGCACCAACACCTCTCCTACGTGCGGTCAGAGGGAAGCGTCTTGGTAAGTACCTTCTTTTGTTTGTCTATTTTCCATTGTTTGTCCATTTTATCATGTTGTATCAAAGTAATATTACTAAAAGTAGTGTAGTTGTATTGTAGTGTAGTATTACTAGATGATAATGCTGTGATTGTTATAAATGCATTTATTTGTGGAATTTTTATTCCGATAATTATTTATATGACTTACTTGCTCTCACAAACACAAAGACAGCCTGGCGACAGACTGCGTGTGTGTGGAGCCAAGCATTTTATGAAAAGTAATGCAAATAAAATAAATTCTAAATGATTTATTTATAGGAAATAAGTATTATAATCAGTAAATATATGCATTATTGGCCATCTCAAGACAAAAAGACAAGTGGTAAAAATATCCTTGTGCATCGTGACTGCGAGCGCTCGACGAAAAAAAATCCCCTTATTTGCCTCGTCACTGAGGTGCCACAGAAGTTTCTAGAGGGACAACATATAGCTTTTTTTATGTCTTTTTTAATGTTTTATCATTTATAAATGTTAAAAATTATTTTGGGAAAAGTTGATTTTTCTCATTTTACCCCGCGTGGGCTGTACGGCCGTCGCCACCCTAGCCCGGGGCGTTAGGGTTAAACTAACCTTAAATCAATATTTCAGGCTGTGCAGATTTGCAGTGCCCAGCAGCCCAGTTGTGCCTGGACTAGGGGCCAGGAAAGCAATTTTTTTATGTCCATGCACCTGGCACTTGCCTGGTGGACAAGCTAATATTTTGAGAGGAAAATGCCTAGATGGAAAATTGTCAGGTGTTACATGACTCCACCTCACTATACATTTTAACTAGGGAGGTCTTTCAACGAGCCGCCAACCCACCTCTGGTCAGACGGTGTCAAGTTGTCAACATTTCAAAGGAACCACCAAGCTGAATGGCTGTAGACGTGAGGTGACAGGAGTAATGACCTCACATGAAAAGTGTTACTGCCACTGACACCAGATTATAGGGAATGAAGTGGTAGTTATGGTAGAACAGGTGATCACAGGTGCTGCCTCCGTCTTCCCACACACCCTGCAGGTGTGAGGTGAAGTGACAGGGTTATGACATCACATGTCAAGGGTTACCGCCACTGACACCATTTAGACGAACACAAGTGATCAGTGAGTTCATACAGATAATCAATTTTTAATGTTTGAAGTGTTTATCTAAGTTTTCCCCAAAAAGTCCAGGCAAGCAAATTAAAAAAAAAAAAAAAGGTCAGGGCAAGTAACAACAACAACAACAACAACAAAAATGTCCAGGCAAGTAAATTTTAAGTCACATAATCTGCACAGCCAGCAATATTTATGAATTTCTACAATTCATTGTTCCAATTATGTGAATAACATTAATTTCAAACACTACACTCTTGACCTACTTGGGCCAGCAACAGGAACAGAGTTTACAGTGGCAGTAAGCTGCACAGCCTTAGTAACGCTACTCATGGCAGCAACCCCTGGAGGAACACTATGGGGCGGATTGCTAACTCCTGCAGTAGAGTGGGGGCCAGCTGGAACATGGTGTTGGGCTACACCCATTCCTAAACTCATTGGAACTCCTGTGACTTCATCAATCCCTGGTGAAGAAGCTCTCACACGGGGTGTTATCTTAGGGGGGGTTAAAGCACCTGAAACAAAAGAAATTAAAGGGTACTTAGTTGCCTTACATCACAAACTTTTTTACAACTGTGGTATACTTATATCTAAATAATGTAAAAACCTGACACACTGAAAATTTTATATCACAATTGGTTGCACTACAGCAATTTCATAGAGGATATTTATTTTTCCGATCATGACAAAGTTGGATGTATTGTGTGCAACAACAAAGGTGCAAGCACCAGACAACAGCAAAGCATCCTATGTTAGCATGAAATAAAATTATGTCTCTTCTATCTTCATTTTGCTAAAAATAGGTACAGTATTCTAAAACACTTCTTATCCCATTCACATATCTCAAAACTTTATTTCTTGTTTATATTTTCTTGTGATATAACACAACTGTTATACCAAGTAAAATAAATAAGAGACGACTCATGAGAGAGAACCCATGCTGCTCTTCATTACAGGACACTCACACAAGAGAGTGAGTCAGACCAAAGAAAGGGGGAGTAAATTAATTCATAAATAAATAAATACCTCCATCACTATCCACTACAAATTTTATCATTTCAAACAGCACCAATATCTTTTGAAAACAGCTCTCTACATTATCTTGAAAACTTTAATAAACCAGCTCTGACAACAATACTTCCACACACAACTTTTATCACACTAACAACTGTGAGAAACTGAACACTGGTGACAAATCATCACTAACCCCCTAAATCTGGCTAAACCTAAAAAGATAAAAAAAAATGATCTCTATTTACATGTCAGCTAATACTAGGTACATTATATGAAATATACTAGGGTTCTGTCCACTTTTTACATACATTATGCCAATTCATTTAGATACCAGTGCCATATTACATTTATAAAACGTCTATTTTAAGATTACCTGGTACTGTACCCATATGTCACTTACACTTCCTGGAAACAACCTTACAGTACTTATATAGTTAACCCCTATGCCCCGGTTGACATTCTGGAACGTCCATCTAGGACGCCCCGGTTGACATTCTGGAACGTCCATCTAGGACGCCCCGGTTGACGTTCCAGAACGTCCATCTAGGGCGCCCCGGTTGACGTTCTGGAACGTCCATCTAGGACACCCCGGTTGACATTCTGGAACGTCCATCTAGGACGCTCCGGTTGACGTTCCGGAACGTCCATCTAGGGCACCCCGGTTGACGTTCCGAAACATGCATCCTTTCGCATCATTGTTTGAATGCCCAGCGCAGGTTATTAGGTTTCAGCATAATTATTTGGTGGTCACGCCACACACAGGGTAGTGTAGGTGGGCTCAGTGCGGTTAGTTCGCATTAGCCTGTCGCCATGGAGAGTCGTCCCTCAACCTGGCGACAGACTGCGTGTGTCGCCAAGCACTTTTTATGAAAAATGTAAATAAAATAAATTCTAGATAAATTATTTATAGCAAATAAGTATTAGGAGCAGTAAATATATGCATTACTGGCCATCCTGGACACAAAGGCAAGCAGAAAATGGCCACTAAGTGCGTAGTGACCACGAGCGCCCCAGCAAAATAACACTGTCTCGTTATCTCCCTCGCCACTGCGGCCACAGGGAAGTTTCTAGAGGGTTAATATAGAGTTTTTCTTACTGTTTTATCATTAAAAGGGTTAAAAATTATTTTTTTGAAAAGTTGATTTTTCTCAATTTGCCCCACATGGGGCATAGAGGTTAAGACACTTTTAAGTTGAAGATATATGATCCAATACTTGTAACTATTTTTAAGCAGAAAATCTAAGAAAAATAATAGACCAACTATTGTTCCACGAAATGAAATGGATACCTTATTCGTTGTAATAAAAGTTCTCTTGACACAATGCCTAAAATGATAACTACTATGCTGTATACACAAAAGATTTTATTTTCCATAAAATAATTGCAATTTTTCACAGCATAAAATTATACAACACAAATAAAAACATTAAAATTAAACTAACCAGGCATCCTAGGTTGAGGCTGGGTGAGGGTTGCAGGTTTAGCTGGCAGTTGTGGAGGGGCGGGGCGAGTTGCAATACCAATACGTGGTGGGGATACAGACAAAGTCTGCTGAAACATGGCTACATTATGGGCTTCCTGTAACTGCTTTTTATAGTGATCAACTTCTCGTTGCTGTTTCTCCAACAGTGTTTCCAATTCATTGATCCTGTAAGGAAAAAGACAGTCTGAATTTTTTATGCAAAATACATTTCTGGAAAACAACCCAAATTATATTTACTCCAATATTACAGTAACTGAACAAGAGAACTAGTAATGATGAAGCATTAATTGCAATAATAGTGAAATTACTACAGAAATAAAGGAGAATAATACAAGACAAAAAAAAGAATGCCAATAACCCAAGAATTCAGAGATTTAGCCACTTGCAAACTTGTGTGGGATGATGTGCTATTGTACTACGGGTGGGTAAAATAAGAAAATCGGTCAAACTGATAGATGCTCCTTGAACACAGGAAAGTGCAGCATCAAATTTTAACCTTTGGCTCTAGAGTATGACCTTGATGTTCAAGCTAAGAACTTGGGAGTCATATACAGTACTTGAGACACAATTGTGTTGTTAATTTAATACTTTCAGTAATTAGCTAACCCACGCATTAACGTTACAAAGTACTTTAGACACAGAATGAGGAAAGGGCAGAAGAAAGGACAAAGTTATAAGATAGAAAAGATAAATTAATAAAAATACTATATTGATGAAGTGTCACTTGAAAAATAATTTTAATATGATGAAATACAACAATACATTAAATAAAATTCTGCAACCTTCGATTGAGATATGAAAGAAAATTATAAAATGAGAGCAACTATGCCACTCTCACTCACAACCCCATAAAGCTCAACATACCTTTCTTCCTTTTTGGCAAGTTGTCCTCTCATCTGTTGCCGTTCAGTGTCAAAGTCTGCAAGCTGCTTCTCTAGTTCAGCTTCCATCTGTAATGATTTTTTACTCTCCTCCTCCAAGCCTTCAGCCATAGAATCAATTCTCCCTTTCTCTTCAGATAAAATCTGTAAAGTTTTATACAGTTAGGAAATGTTGTTGTAGTATGGAAACAGTGCAGCAATTCTATTCCTAGGTTTTCAATTATTATTTTTGTGTGGAACACAAAAAATCAATCACACTTATATGCAGTATTAAAATCCTATTTACAATCTAGCCTGCATTCTAACTCATACGTAAATTAATCAACCTATCCATTTTCCAAATATCCCACTTAAAATTTACAAAATCTAAAACCTAGCTGTAAAAATGTACCATTAAAAGCAATGAGGCAAAACTGTTATCACACTTCAATTCAAGCAACTCTTTTTCAAGCAAATATTTTTACCTATACAGTTACATAGTCACCTCGAATTATTTCTAAAAGTGAAACAAAGAAACTTAACATAACTTTTACAATAAAGTCTCATACCGGTGTTTGAATATAATTTGAACTTTTATGTCCGCTTTCTATTGATAATGATACAGTATAGATACAATATCCAACATTGTGATGTCAAGTTCAAAAGTTTACCAAGTGTTCTCCTAAATAGCAAACATTATATATTAAGAAAAAAATTTATTATAATTAAATTCATCGGTCACCTGTGCCAAATCCTCAGATCGTTTTCTCTCCTCCACGTACTGCAGTGCCAATCTTTTCCGCTCTTCAACCAACATGAGGATTATCTGCTTCTGCCTTCCTCGTTCTTCTTCAAGTGTTTCTTGTACTTTACGAAGCTCCTTTTCAGCTTTCTTCTTAGCTGCCCTCTCTGATTCCAGCTCCTAAAGTTATAATTATTAATCTATCATGAAACTGTAGTCTCTGGACAATTTTCCTATTTTGATCAATTCAATTCAACCACAGAAAAAATATAGCAAATGTGCATACCGGGTACTCAATTGGTTTAATATTGCTTTGTGAATAAAACCCAGGAGTGCATTATGTATACTGTCCAAACTTATTTGGTTGTTGCTCAGCTAAGGCTTAATAATGACAAGAGTGGTAAATAAGCATGACAGTATCACGAGACAGTTCTCGGGAATGGGACTGTTCTCTTCCTCATGTGGATTGTTCCAGATATTTGTGCCATAAGTGCCCAGAAGGCCTCTGGCTGAACATATTATTTTTTCCAGAAAAACTGAAACAAGGATATAGGTGGTTGCATATGAGAGACACCCCATGCACAGGTTTCTTGTCACCGACCTTCCCAAAGATTCAAATCACTTTTGGAGAAGAATTCAACATGGTCATTAGAAAATAAAAAAGGGGAAAGATGAGAGAATCACTCAACCTGATGTGGCAAGTTCACATAAAAATTAAAATTCACTCACAAAACTCAAAATAACACTTCTGCAATGGAATTCTGACAAAGGACAACCAAAAAGTAGGCAGAAAGGCCACCAAGCTAAGTGATAAAATAATTAGTATGACTAAAACACTTAACATTTCTACTCCTCATCTAATTGTAAACTTCCGTCTATGTCTTCAGCAAGGAATTTCTCATAAAATTTGATGAAGCAAAACTAAGGTCATTGTGGATACAAACAGCCAAAGGCTTGTACAGTTCCAGTCAGGAATCAAATCCATGACCCTTCACTTGCAAAGTAAACACTGCCAACTGAGCTTAGGTGTCAAGATGGTAGTGAATGTCCTTCTCCCAACAATAAGTTTCTAGGTCTACAGCAACAGCAAGGTTTGTAAATTAATGTACTGTACAGCATCTTCGAGCACAGACTTCCATGCTGCTCAACCATAATCTCTTTTTCCAAATGAATAAGTTTTCCAGCCAGAGAATCTGTGTGGGCACATAGACATCTGTCACAACTGACACTAAGGTAAGGAAAAACAGTATAATTCATGAGTAATAAATATGTAAATGACAAAAAAAAGAGGGATGTTTACTTGTATAAATAATAATAATAATGAAAGAAAATTTTCCAGTAAAGTTTTGTTTCATACCCTGTACTTTAATAAAATCATAAGCAGAGGCTTTTTAAAACAAGTAATGACAACTTTATTCAATAACTTATCTCTAAAAATCTGACACTGTTGCTCCCAGTTTAAAAATAGTAAAAAAAATTAAATCATCATACACATGCAAAATTTTAATTCTTACACATTTTACCAATTCACAATCTTAGCACTGTATTTCTTTATACAACAAGCCACAACAAATATCTTCCTCCATAATAACTTGCTCAAACCTCACTCTTCCACACCAAAGACTATATACGAATGATAAGAAATTGACTCCCTCGAAGTGTGACGCACAAATACTGTTGTGAAGTTTTGTTGGAAACCCACTAGATAGCTCTGCCAAGGTTTGTTGTCTGACAGCATTTATATAATGATTGAGAGATACAACAAACAAAATGTATTTAATTACAGTATTACCCCGCTTTAAGCGTTTTTTTTTTTACTCGTTTCCACGTTTACGCGGTACCCTGCTAGACCCGGAATGCTCACTTTACACGGTGCGTGTCTTCTTTTACGCGGAGAGCAGCTGGCGGTCATCTCGCGCCGCCCTATTTTTGGATTCAAGCCTCCTGCCATCCCGCCATGTTGGGTAAGAGGCGCGAGTAGGTTGCGCAGTTTATGTCTTTGTTGCGTTATCAGTGACATCATATGACGTATCGGACTGTGATTGGGCCAAGCATCCTTACCTCCATCCCCCGCTAGCTGTGATTGGTTTAATGTAATATGACGTGCCCCGCCGCGGGAGCGTTCAAGCCCGTTGACCTACCCGCGTTGGTTACACACCTCCCGGCTACACCGTGTATATCGGTATCTATTATTCCATAAGAATGGCTTCCACCGGACCACCACCACAAAGAAACCTTGCATTACCTGGACCCAGCCGCCCTAAGCCAAAGAAGATACGACGTTCCTTAAGCTACGAAATTAAATACAAGATCAACCAAGAGTTGGAGAAAGGAACAAGACAGGTTGATCTCGCACGCCAGTATGGTGTTAACGAATCTACGATCCGGACGATCAAGAAGGATGCAGACAAGATAAAGGAGCACATGAACAACACAAAGTCTACAGGTGCTTCTATGATCAAGTATTGCCACAACAAGGTGCTTCTCAAGACGGAGAAATTACTTGTGAGCTACTTCATTCGTCAGGCAAGACGGAACATGGCGGTGGACACGCACTCAGTTAAGGAGTACGCACGTGAACTGTATGCTGCAGTGTCACGTAAGATGGGAATTGCAGAGCCCAAACCCTTCAATGCTTCCTCTGGGTGGTTGCAGAGGATTAAGAAGAGGAACACCAACATTAACTTTGGTGGTGAAGCTAGTGCTGACCGTGTTGCGGCTAGGGATTTTCCTCCGTTTTTACGTGAAATTATGGAGGAAGGACAGTACATCGACGACCAGGTGTTTAACATGGATGAATCTGGTCTTTTTAGAAAAAGCTACCTTCCAAGACCTTCGTTGTGAAGAATGCCAGCAAGTGTCGGGGCCGGAAGTTGCAGAAGGAGCGCATCACCGTCCTGTTTACCACCAATGCCTCCGGTACCTGTAAGCTCAAGTTATCGGTGATCCACACAGCACGCAAGCCACACGCCTACAAGAGCATGGACATGACCAAGCTAAATGTCCACTGGCTGACCGCACATAAGGCGTGGATATTCTCTACTCTGTCCCTCTCCTGGTTTGATGACTGTTTCGTTCCCGACATGAAGAAATTCTGTGAGCAACAGAATGTTCCATTCCAGATTTTGTTGCTGCTTGACAACGCACCAGGACACTCACCCCTACTGTTGGATTGTCACCCCAATGTAAAAGTGGTCTTCCTTCCTCCCAACACTACGTCATTAATCCAGCCCATGGACCAAGAATTAATCTGCAATGTGAAAGCTGCATTCTCTGCAAAGAAGTTTAAGCTCCTGAACGACTATACCAACACCAAGGTGTGAGTTGCGTAACCTGGGTGACACCGATAGCAAGAGCGAAGAGGACGAGGAACAACAGTTGGCAGAGCAAGAAGTACTTGTGAAACATTTTTGGAGAAAATTCAACGTCAAGAAAGCTGTGGACTTCTTGGTGGAGGCATGGGATCAGCTGTCTGTAGCAACGGTTCATCACGCATGGAGACATGTGTTGCAAGGTATTCCAGGTGGGAGGCAGAGTCAATCTGTGACTGGTGAGGTTCAGACTGTTGCAGTAGCAGTGGACCTGGCCAGAGAAGCTGCACAGAGTGTTACAGCTGCAGGCTTGTCCGAGACCACCAACGACGACATTATGGAGATGTTAGATGATGATGACGTCAGTGAAGAGGCAGGTGGTGTGTCATCCCAAGAAGAACGCAAGTTATTGCATAGTAATGCAAGGGGTGCCAAGGAGTGTGTAGAGAAACTCAAGCTCCTCCTTTCCGACGACCCTGACAATAACCGGTATGAAGTCTTCACTACCCAGCTGTTGCAGACTATGGAGCCCTACATCAAGGTGTATCACGACAACATCAACACTAGCCGTCAACAAAGCATTACCGAGTTCTTCGCCCGCAACCCACCACAGCCCGCCCAAGCCAGTGATAGACACAGAGACAGTGATGGTGACTTTGAGGGATTTGTCAGGGAGGCACTGATAAGTGTGGATGACAGTGATGATGACTCACCTGAGGGCCAGTAGCCTGCCCTCTGCCTCGGAACCAGCCTCTATTCCCGTACGCCGACCCATCTCTTCTACTAACTTAAGTGTTAAACCTAACCTTGTTTTTTTCTAACCTAACCTACAGTATATTATTCTCTTATTGATTGTTCTCTTTTATATTATGTGTGTGTGCATACCATCATAAAGCTAAGATGTTACTTTTACTAAAACGTAAGTATTGTGTCGGGAAAAAGTGGAGTTTGGGGGTCGGCCCGGTCTCTATTTCAATTAATCCCATATGTTATGTTGTTCACTTTGCGTGTTTCTCGCTTTACGCGGGCCTCCGTGGGTTCAATTGACCGCGTAAAGCGAGGGTTCACTGTATTCATCCTAATATATGGCTGAACAAAATAAAAATTTACATCTTGAAGTACCTAGTAACAATACACATCTGTGCTGGAAATTAAAGAGACGGTGCTTCGTGCCACTGTTCAAAGGCACATTTTAGGTTGTGCTAAAGGCAGCCATTTTCCTACTTTCAATATATAGTCTTTGCTTCCACAATTGCCCCTCACCTCACCGCCCACACACGCACGCACGCACACCATTCTCCCACAGTATCAAATGTCTCAAACACCTTCCTCCACATACTACATTAATATACTAGTACAGTATTGATATTCATCATTCACACTAATGCCTATACTGTACATCAAAAAATGCACCATTTTCTCCCCTTTAAATTCTACAACTCCTTTTCTATACAGTGTTAGAGAAAAGAGGTGCAATGAAATTTCTTGTATTTATTTTTCCTAAATCTGCCATACAACTACAGCAATGCAAAGTTTAACCATTTGTGTTATAAATAAGCTAAAAAATACTGTAACCCAGTTTTGTATCATGCTCAAGTATGACACTGTCTAGATTCAAATAAGGGTGACATGCAGAATAATCTATAAATTAATTTGAGCACTAATCCTACCCTCAATTTAAGTCATTGCAGCCTAAAAAATACAGTTTGACAATAAATGTTTATTGGTTTAGCTATCACATAACTGAAGCAACCATGTCTTTGCACCAAGAAACAAAGAGTGAAAAATCTAGGCTTGCCTATGATTTTTGTCCTCTTATGGAACAATATGCTGTACTGAACCTCAAAGAAATTATATAGCAACATCCTAAGTATTATATGTGCTAACTTTCCCTTCACTTGCTAAGGTACCTCCTTAGTAGGGATCCCTTCCCCTTTTAAAAAAGATCTTAGGCCAATAATCATACCAATTTTGCACCAATCAGTAATTCCACAAAGTCAGAATAATGTTTTTAAATCTGATTGCCCACCAAGCCAATTTTTTCTCTTATACTGTATATCAACATCACATGGACAAACCTTAATTTCTTCATCTTAATGACAGTGATCCATTTTTCTACTCGATCAATTAAGTAAGCCAGAAGGAGCCAAAAATGATCATTACAGATGGATATCATGCAAACTAAACAGTGTCAAGGATGACATATGCAGAAAACATAAATAAAACTAGTACTGTACTGCAGTAAACACGAACAGGTACTTTCATAAAATCTGGCCCAGTGGTTCAAAGGAAGCTGTTTTACCACAAACATATAAGGCATAAGCTCACATTGTTTATGCTTTTGTCAGGTGATTTAACAAAAGCATTTCTCTTATGCTGGAGAAAGTGACCTCCCATCTGTCTTTTAGATTTCAATGGTAACTCCATCCATCCACTCCTGGTGAATAACCATTCTCAAACTTATTTACATTTTCACCTCCTCTTTACTTACTTTTTCTCCTTTCACTTTTACACTATTCCATCCACCATGTCCTAAACAAGATAACTTTGCTTGTCTCTATATGAGAACCAGTAATGTACACAGGCTTGCCACTCTCTCTCTCACCTTTTATATTAACAGTTGTTCAGTCCTCCCATCTACCTCTATTTCCATTTGTTCTCTTGGTCCTCTCACCCTATTTAGTTCCCTCCAGAACAGATTCCTGTTCTCTTTAAATTCTTGTGATAACTGTTGTGATAACTGTTCTCCCTTTCACATACATTAGTCTTCTTTCATACACTATTCTACTTTCCTTCTCCTGTACTCTTCTTCCAAGACTCCTTACCTGCAACGGACACTAATGTGCAGTAATGAATTGTCTCTGTGGTCACTGCAACCAAACCTTATTTTTCCTTACATTACGGATTTGCAAATGCACAATTTTGCAATTACATGACCCCTTTATGGATGGAACCCAGCATAAAAACAAGAATTTACTGAATAAGGTGGGATTACCTGCCTCTTATGAAAAACTTATACCTGTACTGTAATATTTTGAAGACAACAACATAATTTCCACTAATCATATTGAGTCTTTGCCAAAAAATACTGGGAAATCTTTTGTTCACAAAACTTTGCTGAGAATCTGGGCAAAAGGTGTGACTTGCATATAGTAGCAGAATGACAGCGGGGCACTGGTTTATGGTCGAGTGGATTAATTATATTTCAAAATTTTATCTATTCTCTAACAATCTAATATGAAATGAAGAATGGATGAATAAATATAGGAAAAAATTTTGTCAATAAGGTTTCATGATAAGGTGGGAACAACTAGAAAAAGAAAAATTTTGATTATTTTTTCTGGTGGATGACAACAGCTATTTATAATTAAGAATGGTGAACCCACCACCTTACAAAGCTAGTAAAACTGAGACCTACAATACAAGGACAGCTACCAGGTAACTGATTACCATACGTAAAAATTACTAAACAGGGATACAGAATTAACAGTGGATATACTGTAGGAGCCTAGAATCAGAAAGTCTGTGAAAGATCATAATGATAAAAGAATTCACAAAAATTATTACAGTAAGGAGGGAATGACTGAAGTAGGATGTACACAGAAAGTACATCTGAATGAGATAAAATGGAATATTCTAGATAAGGGTGAGACTGAAGGCCACAGATGACAAAACAAAAGGAACACATGGTGTAGTAAAGAACACAAAATGTACATGAGTTGTAGTACAAAGAGGTCATACATAGGCCACCCTACTGTATGGATGTTATGTTGTATCTAATGAAGAAAGAAAGGTTTAGACAGAAATATATGCAAAAATCAGCAGATTTCATTAAGCTATTTACTATATATATAATAAAAGATATGCTTGAAAAGGATTTTTTACTAAAAAAGTGATCTAAATTTTACTACTGTATAATCAAGCAATTCAAATTGTAAAACTAGTTACTGCAGAAGCAAAAAACTTTGGCTTAGATAGGGTAGAGGTCAACTGGAGATGAAAATCCTGTCTGATATTCTTAGAATAACCAACTTCTTGATAATGAGTTCTACTTTTTAAAGTAGTACAGTACACTACAGTACTGTAGTTACCAAAGTATGAAACTGATGAACTATAATATGGAAACAGGTCGAGTTATCATGCATCCTAAGAAGGTGCTTTCTTCTCCCTCTAGCCCAATTGCTCCAAATAGTAATATTAGTGCTTCCCTTGAGTGACAAGTAATTATCTTCTATATAATTTATCTAATCATTACTATAGTTGCTCAGATAATAAGCAGAACACTACAGTACAGTGAAGTTAAGCTGTCTCCTTAACTACAACAATTAACCCTACACTAAAAAGAAATAGAAGAAGACCAGCTTTCAATGGACACACATCTATCAATCTAATCACAGTAATAATAATATATCCACTAGTAGCTCTGACTATAACACTAAATATATAGAATAAAGTTGTTTTCCAACCTTTATCATCCTCAACTCAGGCTGAAACAACAACCCAAGCATTACCATTACTAAGTCATGTTCACATATCAAATTACAAGGTGGATGGCCAAGAATGGACCTCTCGACAATCCATTTCTCTGTTTTGTCCCCAAAGAAACAAAATATTCTGACTCATACACAATATGCCCAGTCACCAGAGCACTGCTGTTGCTTATGTCCAAAAGTTGTCAAGGAGTTCACTCATGAGAGTCACTGCATTCATTAACGTTCCATTCTTGGCAACATACTCTCTCCAACATCCAAGAGGAACAACCAGTATTTAGAAAATATAAATAAATTTCTGCAACTTTAGATACAAGACCAGGAACTTAACAAAATACAGTATGTTGTGAAAAAAGTGTTGGAAACCAAAATAAATTAAAGTAAATTAAATTTATAAACAATAGAAGTAATACTCCACATGACACTTATAATGGCTTATAAGCCTATAGGCTTTTAACATCATTTTGGTATTTACTTAAAAGCCTGAAAAATAAGAACTCAATCATCCCTAACAACAAAATGAAAAATATCTTGGATGCTGTTGAGTTCTAAATTAAATATTAATAGCATTCTGAGAATCATAGTGGAGATCATTAAAAAAAAAGTATCAACTTTATTATGCAAAAGCTTGCTTTTTATACTGTACTGTACAATTTCATGAGTTAGCCTGTTTAAGAAAAGTTTAGTGGATATAACAGTTTCCACATCAAATACACTTTATTTCCCAGAATTTACTATTGGTACACTAAATGACATTCAATTGACATGGAATTTGACATTATCATGATTATGAATTAAGACAATACAGAAAAGGGATTTAAAATCTCCCAGTTACAAAAATTAGTGCTCATCTGAATATTAAAATTAAAGTTACTTTTAACTCATTTTCAAATGGGGATACTGTACTTCAAAAACCACAAAAAATTAGTACCTCCTGGCAAATCAAATACCTGAAGGGGCATTAAGAAGTCTACTAACCCAATCAACCACAGAAACAATACTAGGAGAGTATTGATGGACTGTGTATCTCCACTTATTGGGCAATTTCTTTTACCAAATTCATATGACATCCCCACTTGGTGGTGTCCAGAGTTTTACATTTGAAAACTGCACAGCAGCTGTAACCAGCTTCCATCATATAGTCCAAAGGGAAAGTCTAACTTTCAAAAAAATAGGACCCCGAAATCCTATTTCTCAGCTGCGCCTGTAACCAGGTGGATCAGTCCATAGCCAGGTGGATCTCACTAGTACCAGCCATTTGACAGCTGAAGACTGATCTTACAACCAGCCATCCTTCCTGCCATAAATGTGGTCCTCAAGAGCAAAATTAAATGCAATGGTTACCTTCTGGAGGAAAGGGGTCCAATTAGAGCTAAGCTACTTAGTCAGTTCCACATGTCACCACTATAGGCCTCCATCTTTAATTAAATTCAAAGAACAATCTGCCCTCTTGCCTTCATTTCAAACTGTTTAACCTCAAAGCCATGAGAGATGGTATCTGACCCACCTGGCAAGAGGCTCAGCTAGAAAATAAGATATCAGGATTATTTCTAGCTTGTTACCCTTTGCAATTCAGTTGTAATCACTGAAAGTCAGCTACAATAGAAGGAAAGAGAAGGGTACTACAAATGCTACTGTGTTTTGTTTAGGTGAACATTCATCTTTGGAGAGTTAATCCAACTAAAAAGGTGCAGGAGATACTGAAAAAGACATCATTATACTCTCTTTTCCCATACAGTTCTTTGAGAGTTATCCTGAACCTGACTCCAGTGCTCCTAAAACTATGAATGTCAAACTTGTCCCTCAGAAATGTGACAAGCAAAGTTAATTCCAAGTTCCCAAGAACCAGAGAAATGCAGGTCAGTATACATGATGTGGAAGCATAAAGGGAAACCCATCCTTACAAATTTTCACCATGAAGCATGAATCACTCCCCACTGAGTAGGAAAATTACCCAACTCCAGATTTAAAAATATATTTTAATTTACTTAAATACATTACCCTGTTTATTACTTTTAATTTCCAAATATACCTGAGTATAGTTAATGTATTTATGATAAAAGTTTGATGCAAAATGCTGGGAGTCAAACTATGTGTAATATTTTTGAGGGGATAAAATTTATGCATTTCTGTGGGTCATCTACAGAGAACAACCACCATCCCGTATGTGCTCGTGGTAGGCTAATCTTACCAGTAATCTCCTTTACCATGGGGTTGCCTACCACACCACTAAATTCCTTCTTTATGTGACTAGATCAGGGGTTCCCAAGCTTTTCTAGCACGACCCTATCCAGTGTTGTCAACTATCCAGTGCGACCCCAAATCATTTCACTGGCAGACCCAAAGGACCCCACCGACCTCACCTAATGAGCCTTCCGACCCCATTTGGGGTCGCGACCCCAGGTTTGGGGACCCCAGGTTTGGGAACCCCCGGACTAGATGAAGAGCAGAACCTCATTCACAATACTTGCTGCTTTAAATTTACAAATACCTGATCCAATGAAGATTTACAGATAATATTATTTTCATTTGCATCTGTTAGCATCACTGCTGGCATTGTTGCCTAGTATGACTAGTCACTAGCCACAATGTTATGGTTATTTTTTAACTCGCAATTTCGGTTAGATACCAGTATACGTATTTTTCTTTTCTTTTTTACCCAGTTACATGCACACACAATCTCACATACAGAATGTGCAAAAAAAAAAAATAATAATTATCACAAGGTCAAAAATAAAGGGAAAAACATTTCTTTGTGTGGAGACTTAACATGCTGAGGAGGAATGGGGGAGGGGGGGGGATCAAGAGTGTGGGTGCCCGGTTGATAAGGAATCAGCATCCCAGCTGGGTTGCATTGTTATGGATACCGTCAAGGCCATACAGCCAGACAGCTCTCCTAAGACTGTGATGCAGTTGTAATGATGATTTCTTAGGGTACAGCAAAATTGTCTCAAAATTTGTTTGTGCCACAATTGGGCCTTCCAGACCATTGGATGATGGACTAAGGGGCTTTTACTGTATTTATTCTACTGCCAGATTCTAAGTAATTTGTCATTTTTTTTGATGATGAAGTAGTATTTTCAGATCAAAAGTCTCATAAACTTTTTTTTTCAAAAAAAATAATAAAATAATAATAATAATAATAATAATAATAATAATAATAATAATACAGTGACCCTCGTTTAACAACGCCCGGTTAACGAAATTTCGTTAATGAACTGCCTTCAATAAGGATCTTCAATTGTTAACGAATTTCTTGTCAACATGTTTTCGCTTGCACTGACCGGGCAACCAGCTTTAGTATCAGTCCGCCAATACATTAATCGGTTCTAGGGCTTAAATTCCTTACTATTTTAGTAAATATCAAGAAGTTTATACTATTCAATAATTTTAAAAGTTTAATATTCAATTTTTTAGTCATTTTAACAATTATTGAACATAATTGAAGGTAAAGAAACTAGTTTCTGGCACGCCATCCAGCCTGTTAACACACCATACAGGCGTCAGTCTTTGTGTCTTTTCAGTGGAGGCAACATATTGCTTGAGACTCTCTTCAACTAAATGCTTTTTTCTGTGTTTCCAAGCAAATTATTGGTCATTTTGAAATTTATTTTGCATATTGACAATATATAATGCAGTGCAGTGTTGATTTAAAGAAAATAATCTTGAATTACACCAAGAGAACTAAAATTTTATGGGTGAAATGGCGCCATGGGGTGACTTCTCTTCCACCCCAATGCCTTCTCTTCTCCCTTCTCCTCCTCCACCTCCCACTTCAAATGCACATCATCATCATCATCCAGGAGCCTTCTACATACACACCTCAAAGTAAGTGAACTTTTCTACCATTTTTGTTGAATTTGAAATTTTTCTGGAACCAAGAGAACCAATTACAATAATAATAATAATAATTACACATAATAATAAAGCACAACCTTGGAAATCACAAAAAAACAACTGAAAAAAAAATATTGCAACTACATTGTAATTTCAAGTGATGTAGTATACTTGCTAAGAGATTTTGTGGATTTTCAATACAAAATAGCATCCAGGATCAATATTTACAACCCAAGGTAAGTGTAAAATACAACAAAGAACACTAAATATTCTTCGTTGTATTTTACACTTATCTAATTTTTAAGATGTAGAGTCACTCATAGTTCCACAATTTAGTTATATAAATGTGTATTTTAGTTATAAAATATAATGCCGTGTGCCAACCTCCCTATGCCAACTAGATAATTTGTTAGCTTGTTATTAAGCTTCATGAACAAAAATTTGAATTAATATAAAAGTTTAATGTAATGTTTACTGTAGAACAGCATAAATAATAAAAGGAACATGTAAATTGTGAAAAAAAAAAATGAGATGTACAATGGGAGATCAACCTAACTAGCAACACTGTGAACACACAACTGACTCTGCAAGGCTGCCCCACTCAGCTTCAGCCAGGGTGGCATCAATTCATAAGTGTAATGTTTGAGAAACAGAAAACAAATTTAATCTAGTAGTGCACAAGTATCAAATTCCTATAAAAAATTACTCATCATATTCTTTATTACTTAAAAGCTTATTGACAAGGAAATAACTATAAAATATATCTTTCAACATTTTTCTGACAAGGTGGTGCTGTCATTTACAAATACAGTAATAACTAATATTATACAAGATTTATAAAGAAAAAGCATAATTGTAAAACATTGAATTGAACTGTAATTCACCTCAGGAACTTGAACACTTAAACGCTTTATAGTTTCAAGGGAGAAGCACAGGAGTGACTTTACCATATTCAAAAAACCAGAAAATTCAAAAGTCAGACAAATTTTCAGTACCATCAACACCACATTTCCAAGGTCTTATAGTAATAAAAAAAATAATAAGGTAATTTCTACAATCTCTTCACCAAGATTTGGTTTAGATTCATTTGATTCCTGTGTTGATGAGAATAAAGTATGGAGAAAATTTTGGCTTCACCATGATTTCCAGCTAAAATCATA